TGTCGTTTTCAAGTGGCACAACTTATAGTAAGAAACTTGCTATGGAATTCAGCAGGTTGCTTTTTATTGTGGAAAGAATGGATGAGATCCTGAAAGACTTGAACCATTGCCTTGTAAAGAAAGAATATTTGTTTAAACTTAAGAGATTCATAAAATTTGGAAAGAAATGCATTCTTTTTATCGGTAGAAATACAAAATGAACTTGTTGTGACAAATGCCATTACTTATTTAAAATTATGTTACATTATAACTATTCCCCCTTTCACACCAACTGAATATGTTTAATTAAACCAAGTTTAACAAAATGAAAATCGGCAACAGAAAACTGGTAGTCTGAATTTGACATATGGTTATACTAAGCTCTATAATAATAATAATAATAATAATAATAATAATAATAATAGTAACAATAATAATAATAATAGTACTACTACTAGTACTACTACTACTACTACTAATAATAATAATAATAATAATAGTAATACTTTATTTAAAAAACCTCAGAAGTTTCTATGATGAAAAAACTCTGTCTTGAGAAATATCTATACCAGAGTTAGTTTATATCTGACCTTATCCAGTTGAGTCATATAAAATGAGTGATAAAGGCTATAGAATGCTTAGTAATAAAACAGCATGTGATTTGACTCTCTGTCTTCTTTTTGTTTACTGCAAACTAAGCAAATTATGCTACAAGCGGGTTATTCATTTTCAAGTCTTCATCAGGGGACATTGAGAGAGTGGAGAATTTTTGATAAACTTTGACATGTTTTGAAATGCAATAAAACCGTCTCCATTGTTTCCAAACTTTTTTCCAAATGATAACAAAACTGCTCCATTCCCATTCAAATCATTAAAAATTGAGTCTTTCTATGGCCTTGTGCTAGCATGGTCTGCCTTGATAGCAGAGGCAGGAAAATACCAAAATTATGGGAATTCATAAATGAAAAAGAAATAGGGATGGCCAAGGCCAGAGAACATTGCAATCTTAATGGCTTGTGAAATACAAACTGGGTAAATGTTGCAAGATGTACCCCTCTATGATGCAGTTCCTTTCAATTAAAGATGTGGTGAGTGCATCTGATAACTGTCAAAACCTAACTGCTACAGCAAGATTGTTATGTGTTCAGTGGTTTAGGTTTGTCAATCACTCCTTTGGAAAGTCTTGCAAAGCAAGCTTTAAATTGATTCTTCTCTTTATCTTCCTCCTTGCTTGTTTCAATGCAATCAAGTGGTATAACTGTTTTCTCTATCCATTCATTTTCCTCAGAATGAAATTTTTCAACTGACAATGTCACTGATTCTGACCACCTGTTGCGAGCTCGAGGTTGGTAAACAGTCTTGAATCCTCCCAAAACATACAAACTTCCTTCATAGTGTACCATGCTTGCACACCTCCGAGGTTCCCTCAGACTAGCCATCAAGTGCCATTCATTGGTAACTGGATTGTAAACTTCACATGAGCTGATTTCTCCTTGTTTCCGTCGACCACCTGCTATGTACACTTTACCATTCATGGAAGCACCAAAAGCACAGCATCTTGCTTGATTGATAGGTGCAACTTCTTCCCACTCATTAGCACTTGGATCAAACCTTTCCGTTGTGGACCGGTACTGTCCAGATGATGTACCACCTATGGTGTACAAGTACTGTTCATCAGAAACAAAACATGTTTTATACCGAAAGGTGGGTTGTGCCTTTAGTTTATCACAGAAATTCTTCTCGGGATCATACCTGTATATCCCCCTATCCTGAGTGAAGTCTTCACAAGTAGCATAAAGGAAGCCCTTCAAAACTGTGGTACAAGTAAAAGTTGTTCCCAGTTTAACTGTACTGTAGGAGTTGGTAGTAGGTATGTAGAATTCCATTAAACATGCCCCCTGGTTATCCGATTTGCTACAAGGAATGTAAACTTTATCCCTGCATTGAGCTGGATTGTGGCTACAGTCATGATCTAGAATCATGTTTGTCAGCTGGTACCATAAATTTCGCTTTGGAAAGTAACACAAAGATATTTTCCCACCACAAACAAAGATTGTATCCATGTGTGTTTCCAGGCATTTCCTTGGTTTCTGAATAACCTGCCCAGCAGTGGCACTCGCAATTAAT